CTAGACGTACTTCACATTTTGATTAAAATCATTGTAGGGAGCTGAGGTCTGTTTCAGCTTGGGCTGTATCTGTCAAATTAGATCTCTTCTTTATTGAGCCCTGCTTTGGAAACTTTTCCAAAGGTTTCTATGCTGGTCCATTAATTGCTTGTCTTTCACATCAACAGAATATGCTGAGAGATGGACAAAGATTGTCTTCCTTGGAGAGATGAGAAAATTGCCTCCAGGTTGTAGTTCCTTTCTAAAATGGCTGAGAAGAGAGAGGTGTAAGTAGCAGAATGGGTCCCTGTTTAGAAAAGGCAGATATTTTCCTCTTCTACTGGTACTTAAAAGGGCTGTGGGCAATGCAGGGTGGTGTCAGCTCTTTTGCTTGCACCAGCTCCAGACCGCACATCCCTCAGCTCTTAGATTCACCCAGACCTTGGCTTCATGTTCACTTTGCTGGCTCTCAGTAGATGTAACACATGCCCAGATGTGTGGGAATCCCCCAGTTTTCTCCTACATGAAATAACAGATTTAAGTCCTGTGTTTCAGAATATAGATGTGTTCTGTAATGTAGCTGGAGGAGTGTGGGAATGTGTGGGCAGCTGTGCTGTCTGCTTAGGGAGATTTGGGGGATTGTTCTTTGTTTGACTTGCTCTAATTTTCTGTCTGTACATCTCCTGAAGCCTCAGGTTTGCCATCTGCTGAACAGAGGCAGGAGCTCCCCTGTTCCCAAGGCTGCGTGTAAACCAAATTTCACGTCATGTTTGTTCATTGTGTTGGGATTCCAGAACCAGGAACCCATCACTGATGCAAACTCTGGAGCATGCCCAAAGAAGGACAGTGAAAGGTCTGGATCACAAGCTTATGAGGAACAACTGAAGGAACTGGGATGGGTCAGTCTGGATAAGAGGAGGCTCAGGGAAGACATTATTGCTCTCTCCAACTGCCTGAAAGGAGGTTGTGGTGAGGTGGATTTGACCTCTGCTCCCAGTTAATAGTGATAGGATGAGAGGCAATGGCCTTAAGTTGCTCCAGGGAAGGTTCATTTCTTCTTCAGAAGAGTGGTGAGAAACTGGCACAGGTTGCTCGGGGAGTGGTAGAGTCTCTGTCCCTGAGGCGTTCCATATCTGTGGAGATGAGGTACTGGTGGGGATAAGTGGATGGTTGGACTTCATGCTCTTAGAGGTCTTTTCCAACCTTAATGATTCTAGGACTCTAAGCAATCCTAAAGGAAGAGCACAGGCTTCCCTTCCTTGGTGCTTTGGGTCTCTTTCTGCAGGGGCTGTGACAGTTTTCCCAATTCTGGTGGGAGCATTACTGGCGAGAAAGTGCTATGGAGGGCTTCTCCTCCTACCAAATTCAGCATTTATTCCCTTTGATCAGCCCTGTCTGAAGTCAGGGTTAGGCTGGAGGGCTGTGAGTCCTTGGTGATGCCCCAGCCATAAAATCATAGAATCATTAAGGTTGGAAGGTATTACAAAGATAATCTAGTCCAACCATCACCTCATCCCCACCATGCTTACTAAACCATGTTCCTCAGTGCCACATCTGCTCTTTTCTTGAACACCTCCAAGGATGGAGACTCCACCACCTCCTTAGACAGCCTGTAACATGGGGAGCACGGAGCCAGAATTAGGGTCCCCAGAGCACTAACTGATGGGATGGGGTGGGAAAGTGATGGCTGAGCAAGGCTCTGCTGGCATTTGTTGGCTGGGGAAATCCCTGTGCATGGGGATGGGATGGGGCTGGCTGGGGTAGAGCTGCTGCAATGGCAAGGAGCTCCAGAGACATGAAAAACTCATCTTGGGGTTTTGCCTCGGTGTGTATCCTGGAAGGCAGGGTTGTGGCCAGGACTGCAAAAAGGAAGGTGAAAGGTAATAGAAGTGCATTTCTGCTCTCAACAGCCCATTGCAAGCAATAGTGTTTATTTCAAATCATACCCTTAAATGAATTAATAGTTAGACACAGCTGCCATCTTGTTAGCATAAAGAGGCAGTGGCCCAACTGTCTGTATTAGTGCTGGCCTTCCCCTGCTGTCAGACAGGTTGCATGAGGCCTGGCTGAAGGAAGCACCTCGTGCTTGGCTGGAGTACGCTCTGTTCTCTTGGCTTTACTGAGAGCTCAGGGCATTAATCTCCCTGCTTGACAGAAATCTTTTAGCTCCTGCTTTTGTTACAGATGACAGTGTTCATCCACTGATCTTTGCTGAGAGGTGGCCGTGGGGTGGCTGCTTGAGGATGCTGTCAGTTTGCTTGCTGCTGCATGACAGGGAGAAGAAGGCTCCCAGATTAACGCTAAGGTTGTCCTTTGGCACCCAGCTGTGACCTGGGCTCTCCAGCTGAGCTTTGGGCTCTGGGGTGGCCAATGCAGCAAAGTCACATGGAGGAGCTTAGAGAATTGCAGGGGTGGGTTTAGGTCAGGCTTGTAGAAGACAGAGAGGTGAAAGGTGGGAAACACCTGTAAGGGTGCATATGGCTGCTCATGGTGGATGAGAAGCAGCTTGCAGATGAGCAGAGGTTGGGCACAGGAAGCTGTGGCTGCTGCGAATTTTGGGAAAAGCACTTGAATTGCTGGACTGTTTTTACAGGCTTCAGGTGCCTGAGGAACAGATCTCTGCCTCCCTGTTTCTGCCACGACCCTACACTGTCCCTTAGCCTTCCTGTGCCTCAGTTTCCTGCTGTGCAGCACATCTCCTTCAGGAATTGGATGCTGCCAAGCTTAATGGACATGAGCCATTCATGCCTGTGCCTGGGGCACTCCTGCAGCAAGGCTTCACCTTGCTTTAGGCACTACTGAGGTGCTGCTGGCGAAAGCAGTGGGTGAGCAGGAAGGGAGCCTCTTGCAAGCTGGTGCTTTATCCTGATGTAATTGTGGCACATCGTTACATGTATTTTGTTTCTACTTCTTCCCTGTTGGGTTAGGCCTGCAGTTAGGATCAAGTGGCACTGACAGTCAGCCAGGCATTACTCTGGCAAAATATGTCAGCTGGAACATTAAAATTGATTTTGTCTTTTGGCTCATTCTACTTACTGAGCAAGTCTGGAGCTGGGCCACAGCCCAAGCCCCAGCTGCTGTTTGCAGGGAGGTGCCTGCAGGATTTTTCCTGGAGGAGAAAAGTGTGGCTTTCCTGTCAGCTCCCAGGTTTCATTCACTGAAGCATCTCACTGTGGCAGAGCTGCTGCTGTAAACTCTGCTTGGGTTCAAGAGTGTTTAGCAGCGCAAAGGAAGACGCTGCATGCCTGTGAAGGCTCTGCTTTCATGGGAGGAGATTTCTGCTCACCTTTTTGCTGATGTTTTGTCCTCTGGGTTGTTCTGGATCACTCCATGAGAGAGAAGTGACAGAGCAAGGCTCTGCCCTACCCTGAGCATCAGGCAGTCTAGCAAGAGCTCGGAGCAGGGTGGTTAATTAGCTGTATTTCAGCACATTTCATTTTAAAGGCTTTGATCGTGGCATGGAATTGTGGATCTGTCGCCAAGTTTGGGCTTCAAATGAATAAATAAATGATAAACGATCATTTGGCAGCAATGAACCTGCTGCACTCTCTTTGCATGTTTATGTGGTTTCTCTTCTTCCATCTGTTCCCTTCTTCCAGCTCTTCCTTTTGGGTTTCAGCCCCCTTTGCCTGGCCGATGGCAGCTCCCAGCCTTGCTGTGCAATGGGTGACATGAGGGCTGCCACCACAGTCAGCAAAATGAGAATGGAAGCTGGGCTGTGATGACAGCTATTGGAAAAGGCATCAAAATCCCTGTAAGGAGATAACAGGCTGAACAGAGTTTTCCTGCCTTTCTGCTCTCGATTTCCCAGCCTGTTTTCTCTTCGTTTCTCTGTCTTACAGTAGTTTTGCCTTTGGCAGGGCTGGTAGGTGGCTGGGTTGGTTAGTCCCTGCTCCTCTTGGGTGACCCACTCACATGGGTATTTCTGAAGATGTTAGCTGTTTGGAGAAAGGCTTGTCATTCATTTGACCTGGAAAAGATTCCTTGAGGAAGGATTTGTGCGCTGTATTAGAAACAACTCAAAGGTATTGATTTGCATCAGTGTTATGAGTGTTATTACCTGCATGAAACGTGATGACTTTGGTCACCCGTGCCATGGGTGCACTCTACTTAAGCAAAGACTTTGATATGGAATTGAGCACACACAGCTGGAATAGTCCTGCCTGCATCTAATCTGGTTGAATGGGTAGGTCATGCTATTCTGTGCCCACTGCAGGAGGAGGCAGGAGCAGCAGAAATGTAGTTGGGTCTCTGTATGTCTCCCATTCTCCCTCCCTTCCACCTGACATTCTCAGATTGCTGTGTTTTTCACTCACAAGAGCAGAATTTGCATTTTTTTCTCAGTATGCTGTGTGGCATTTTGCTTTTCAGCAGCTCCTTAAAGAGCTCCCTTGTGCTTGGTGAATGCAGAAACTGTCACAAACCCAACCACCCTTCCCTCCCCCTAATCTGGGCTGCTGCTTACTCAGGGAGCTTCAGACAGAGCTTTGATGACAATTCCAAGCTGCTGAGCAAGCAGCTGTGGCATTGCAGTCGCTCTGAAGATGCCTTGTTTTCTTGCAGACCTCTTGTCTTTTGCTCCATGTGTGCAGACCCTGGGCACAGTGCCATGCAGCCTGGTTTAGTGGAAGGCTGTGGTTCCTTCCCGTGCTCCAGATGGAGATACTGCACTGATGCTCGGCGTGAAGGAACACAGAGTGGTGGGTAAGGACGAGGATGCTGTAGAAGGTACACAAAGTTAGGGTGCTAAAATTTGCAACGATCAATTTTGGCCCCTTCCAGAGTTAGAGATGAACCCTTGTGCTGGAGCTGAGAGTAAACTGTGGTGCAGGCAGTGGTTCATTGCATCACCTGCAGTTGTATTGCAACTGGTTGCCACAGCTAACTGATGTATCAATGGTACACGTCCCCGTGGAAATCTGAAGGGAATCACCAGTGCCTCCTGCTCTGCAATTTATGGTATTTTGTTTCTGAGGCTCATTAATATTTATTTGTCTCTCTCCTCTTCTCTTGGTTTCCAGACAAACGATGCTGCAGGAAATACCTGGAACTGGCTTTACTTCATCCCTCTCATCATCATCGGCTCTTTCTTCATGCTCAACTTGGTGCTGGGCGTCCTATCAGGGTAAGGCACTAACAGCTTCTTTGCCTCTACCTGGATACCAGAAGGAACAATTATTGGTTTTAGCATTGTGGAGAGGATGTAGGTAAAAAAGAGCAGATGAGTGATCTAACATGCTGTACCCTGTCCCCATCTGCCCTTCCCTTGCTGTGGTTGGTTTCTGTGACACTATAGAGCTGTAGGTCACAGGATGAGCTGGCAAGAAATCCTTTGTTGAGATGATAAACTGAGACAGGGGAGGTTTAGGTTGGATATGAGGAGGAAGTTTTTCACCTAGAGGGTGGTGAGGCACTGGAACAGGTTGCCCAAGGAGGCTGTGGATGCCCCATCCCTGCAGGCATTCAAGGCCAGGCTGGATGTGGCTCTGGGCAGCCTGGGCTGCTGGTTGGTGACCTGCACACAGCAGGGGGTTGGAACTGGAGGAGCATTGTGCTCCTTTGCAGCCCAGGCCGTTCTATGGTTCTATGATACAATTGTATGATTCTAAATCATGACATGTTAAGTAATCTTCCTCTAATTACACCAACTTGGGCCTGTTCTGCTGCTGCTTACTCTTGTGCTGCCTTGAAAATCAGTGTTCACACTGCGTTTGGTGCAGCATGGGGAAATAAGAAGCTCAAACAAAAGCTAATTAAAAGATAACAGTTTAAATTTTTTAAATAAACTCACGCAGTTTAAGCCAGTGTCTGGATTTTAGGAGCATCCTGGTCTCTTGATACTCAAATTCCAGGGGTCAGCCAAGGATTCTGCATTTGCTGGCCATGAATGTTGGGTCTGGGCCATTGTGGAGATCAGGCTGCCAGGTTTGAAGCCTAGCTGGAACGCCCCAGCGTCTGTGGAAATTTGATCTGCATTTAACAATCTGACTCATCTTAATGATTTGTGAGCTCTTAGACTGTGGCACCTCATTTTGCACACAATTTCTTCTTTGCTTATCCAGGTGATCTCCATTACGAAGGTCTGTAAAGATGCAGATTTATTTCTGTCTCTTGGCAGCTGAGGAAGAGAGAAAAGAGTTAATGTTGTTAGCTGATAAATGCCTTTTGATGCTGCACATTTGCTCTTTAAGTTACTAGAGAAAGAAAATCATTTTCTGAAGAATAGATTTGTGCTTAAGTTCAACATTTTGTTAGAGATCCTCATCCTAGTGCAAGAGCTGAGGTGAGGAGTAGGAAGCAGCAAGGCAGTTCTGTTTGAGGATGAGGATGTATGCTCTGTCTGACAAGACGAGGTCATGGAGAAGGCTGAGTGGTCCAACACATTGATTGCTTGGTGCAGCAATAGTGGCCATGATCAGTGGACGCCACTGAATCAAAGCATTTCCTCAGACATCCTATCATATCAGATGCTCTGCAAAGGAGAGCTTAGTGGCTGTGTGTGTTTGACATATGATTTAAAGCAAGAACCAGAGGCAGGGTTGAGTGTGGTTCATTAGGTAGTTCATCTTTTCTGTTCTGTTTTCAGCCCATATAGGCTGAAATGGATGCTTGTGATTTAAAAGAAAGCCTGGAAGCCTGCAGGCTCCTGTTCCTTCATCTGATGCAAGAGTGTTTGGTGACTGAAAGATGGGGACCTCGGACTGGCTCTCCTGAAAGCCTCTTGTTGCTTGGGGCAAGATATGAATATTATATAAATGTCTATCTTCTGAAGGGGATGAAAAGTAAGGAGGCAGTTCTGCACGTCTAGTTTCCTTTTGCTAGTCATAAGGATAATGACATTTTCTTCGCAGAGGGAAGCTTCTAAATTTTATTCTGTGTCGTGGTTCGATGTCCTTGGATAGAATAATTCCTGGGGAGAGACTGAAGAAAATAAACCGTGCAGCGCAGGTGTTGACCACATTGCTCAGCAGGCTCCTGGTGGGCTTGCAGCTATTGAGAAATGAAGAAACCTGTGTGTGCTGGAATGGCCCGGAGAGGGAAAGACCTTCTGAAGGCACAGGCTGTTGTCATATTTACTAACAGAAAGCCCCAGACAATACTTCAGAAAAATACGCATTTTAGCTGGAGGTTATTCTTTGCACAAGTCTCTGTGCGTGGTTTTGATCACTGAAAGAGAGCAACAGAGAGAAGGGGTTGTTGGTAAAGGCATGTTGACTTTCACAGGGTAGAGTTTGGCTCAAGGGCGTAAGGCAATCCCCATTACAGCAACAGCGTCAGCTGGTGGCTCCTGCAGTGGGGACCCTCAGCGATGTCCCACCTTCTTTCTGTAAAATAAACTTAATTTAGGGTTTAGGCTTCTACAGAGAGTCCACAGTCCAGTTGATCTCAGCGTTTGCTCTCTCGCCTGCTTATTTTCATGATCTGAGCACCTCACAGCCTTTGGATGGTGCAGTGCTGTGCCCTCTTCCCTCTCTGCACTTTACAAAGGGAGCAGTGGGGTGGAAAGAGGGGGCCAAGATTTGATCACTGCTTTCACAGGCTCTTTTGAGATCTTTGTTACTGTTGATTTTTCGGTCTTTTGCCATATTCATAGAATCATTAAGGTTGGAAAAGACCTGTAAGATCATCAAGTCTGATCATCAACCCGTTGCCACCATGCCCATGTCCCTCAGTGCCACGTCTCCATGGTTCTTGAATACCTCCTAGGACAGTGATTCTACCACTTCCCTCTGCTGCCTGTTCCAGTGCCTGACCATGAGTATTCATCGTCAGAATTAAAGAGTTAATCTTCAGTATGCCCCTGTACTTTGGAAAGCCACAGAAGAGCCTTTTACCAGAGTGTTTTTCATTGTCCTTGGTTTTGAGTCATTTTCTCTCATGTATTTGTACTCTGTGCTGGACAATAAGGAAGGCACATTCCTGATGTAGGTATGTGGACACTAAAATACAGCAATATGAATAAGATGAAATGACAGCAGAGTTATTTAGCTTCCTACTGACGCTAGATTATACAGAATTTTTCTATAACTCTTAATGGAATTTTCTGCCTTTCTGGAGTTGCTTATGAACCCAGGTCAGCAATGGGCAAATACCACCTCGTAAGGTGGGCTTAGCTCCTGGGTTTATCTGTTTGAGCAGTGGAGATAGATTGGCCTGGTTGGGATCCTGCACCTCCTCTGCTAGCAAAACATGGCAGCATTTGCAATGCAGATGTTACAGGAGAGATGATACCTGTTTTAAAGTAAATTGCAAACAACCTTTCCCCTCTGTTGCTGCTTCTGGAATTATAATAAATGCAAAGACAGGGAAGTGGCAGGGAGGTTGGAAATATGTAAGTCTTAGTAAAAAGTTGGTATAAAAATAACCCCAAATCTCAGGCCACAGATGAGATGTCAAAATCCTCTGAGTACATGGCTAAAGAGGTAATTAAAAGCATGTGGACATTATCATTCAGATTAAATGAGACTCTTTCTGCTGTACAGAGTGTCCTCCTCCAGCGTGCTGATCAAAGCCCTGCTGGTGCTCTTGTCAGCAGCTAATATTTAAGCACCCCCTCTAAAAGGATCTCTCTGCCTTCTATTCCTCTCCTGTTCCTGACAAAAGCTCTGCAGCTACTGCTGGCACAGCTCGGCTTTCCTTGTGCCACCAGATATTGAGATATCCCCAATGGTCCTAGGATATGGGGTGCAGATTTTGGGAACACTGTTTTTCCGATGGTGCAATAGGAGTGCTGGGTTCTCCTGTATCTTTACAGGATGTGTTGAGGTGGATGTCATGGCTGCCCACCACAGTCCTTACGATGGATATCTGCCTTGGGAAATTGGGAAGTTGGTAGCTATTTTCCCCCCGCCCCGGCCAGGTTGTGGGTCATGAGTATGAGTGTGCTTTTCTCAACCTATGGACATGGAAGGATGTACAGTTTTCCCTGTGTATTGTGCTGGTCACACATAAAGTGACCACCATCACAAGTGAACTGCAGCTCAAACAACTCCTACAATCCTTCTGTCTTGCTTACAAAAGGCGTGGGGCTCCAGCAGGAGCACAGCATCCAGCTTGCAGTGTTGTAGAGGTAATACAGCTTTGTGTTCCTTCTTGGGACTTTTCCTCTGTACTTTTCACTGTGAATTCTCCCTGCTTTCCGTTTTCACTCTTTGATGCTTGTTTGATCTCTCTATGAACTGATAAAACTCAACTGCCCTGAGGAAATCAATGGAGCAGGAGAAACGAGGTTAACTTTATCTGGAGCAGCACTTGATGAATGCTATGGCTGATTTGTGGGAAGGCCAGGAGAGCATAGGGGGTGTGGTGAAATCACCATCCCTGGAGGTATTCCAGAGCCATGGAGATGTGGCACTGAGGTCAGTGGGCATGGTGGGGCTGGGTTGGGGTTGGACTTGGTGACCTTAGAGGTCTTTTCCAACCCGAATGATTCTATGATTCTAGCAAGATTTGACCTGAGACACCTTTTACTTTTCCCCAAAACACAAAGTTGTTTTTTGTTTGCTATCTTTGATGCTAACTGGAAAATGCTCTGTGATGATCCTGAATTTGTTTTATTGAACTCTGCACGTGGCTCTGTGGTTTCCAGTGAGGAGAAAATAAAATCTCCCTTGAAGTAGGCGAGTCCTGACCAATGCTCATTCATTTGTATGCCTTTGCATTGATTTCTTACTATCAGGATATCAGTAGGCATCTGGTGGCTCTTCCCATCCATCTCCATAAGCACCATTATCTTCCCAGTGGTTTCCCTTTCTTTGCAGTGACTGAAAAGCTGTTTTTCTCATCCTGATGCTGTTCCCCCCTCAGCCCAGATATGGGCTGAAGGGATTACTGAGTTTCCTACTGCTTGGATTGAATTGGACATTAATTTTACCTGGCAATGAGCTGAATGATTCTGGGCGATGCATTTGTTACTGTTTCGACGCTTTGGATTACACAATGCAAGGAGGATAAATGTTATCATGGGATGCTGTGATGGAAACAATTTGATTTATTTCAAGTCTAAGTGCTTTCTGGCACTGTTTCCCACAGCGGTGGGGAGTGATGTGGGTGATGAGACGGTGGGAGCACCGTCAGGAGAGGGCAGCCTGCTGGTGATGGGTTGGAATAGTGAGTCCGTGCCTT